GTTGCCATGACATCATCATTTCCTTGGATGAATTCCACCGCCCTCACAAGCGAGAGAGAGTTTGTGTATGAGTTACTGAGCAAACTGGGTTCTGTGGGGGCCATGTTGTGTGGTTCATGTTCAAAATTTTTGCCCACAGCAGAGTTGTTGTTTTCTGGTCTTTCATGCTTCCCCCTGGTTAAGCGAGGGCCCTCAAAGGCTAGTGCTTATAATAATAATAACGATGGCAAAAATATTATATAATTCCAAAAGATATCTTTACAATTTCAACAAGGCATGACAATCTTTCACAATATATTGCACATGCTAGTCTGTCCAATATTGAGCTTCGATGTAGCTCCAGACAATTCCAAACTCAACGCAACTACAACAAACCTCTTTCAACTACATGAACATTGATACATTTATTAATTATACATTTATTACCTAAAGCCCAATATAACAAACTTGTATTTTCATTCCCAGAAACAATTTTAATTCAGACGAATGATTCCAATTAGTCCCACTACTTCCTAAACCACACCACGTGGAACCCGCCCACTTCGCAAACCCTCACAATAAAAGGAAAGAACAAGGTACAAACATCATCAGGCGAATGTCCAGTTGACGATGTTTGACCACGTTGATGCTGCACGAGCAACGAGCACAAAGGAGCGGCGATGCCCCCTCCTCCTCCGAGGGCATCAGTGGAGGAGGAGGAGCAAGGAGGCGGGGAACAACACGTGTGAATGATTTCTCAGTGGACGTCAAAACGCGACATCACACGGCTTCCTTCCTTCCATCCTCCCTTCCCTCGCATGCGGAATCATCATCATCATCATCATCCTCCTCCGCAACGAGGAGGAGCTGGCTGGAGCAATATGCGGCTGCCGTTGCTCAACGCCCCCCGGCGCCAATCGCCTCGCCACCTTATCCTCGATTCGCCATCCTTTTGCCCTCTCTCTCGTGCCGACCCCTGAATCTCAATCCCCTCGCTTCTCTCTCCTGCACCCCAGCTGCGTTGTGTTGTGCGTGGCGCACATACCCTATTCTTTCATCGCCGGCGTCGGCATTGCCTCGTTCGCCTTTCTTGCCCCGCACTCAGGCGTGCAGCAGTTCGCCGTTTCCGCCGCGGTTGCACCCACGAAGTCCGCGACGGGTGTCCACCTGGGGCTGAGCCGGTGGCGCCGTTGGAGAGGGGTGTTGCGCGGGGTTGTGGTGCGTTGGTTTCGTGGGCGGGCGCAGTCATGGGAAGCGGGGGGTTGTAGGATTCCGGGGAATTGGAGCAAGCGAGTGAGCGGGCGGGCGGGCGAGCGATTGATTGGATAGGGTGGGAGGGAGGAATTGGGCGAGGATGGAGGAGCCTACCACCCCAGTGGGACACAATGCCTCCACGAGCCATTTTCGCGAGTCGGACGTGGAATTTCTGAGGGCTTCGGCGAAGGAGTGGCTGGAGGCGGTCCTGGACGAGGATCTTGATGACGGGACGAGCTTGGAGGATTTGTTGGCGGACGGGACCGTGCTGTACAGGGCGGCGCAGCACATCAGGGACGACGACAAGTTTCCGGGGCATGGCGAGAGTTCGTCGTTCCACGTGCATGGGACGCCAGGGGGAGACAGGAAGAGCAGTTTGAGGTATCAGCCATATCCGTACGTGGAGACCTTTTTGAATGTGTGCAGGGAGGTGGGGCTGAAGGACCTGGACGTGTTCGTGCCGTCGGACGCGGTGGAGAAGAAGGACATCCGTCGCGTGTGCGTGTGCCTGCGGCGTTTGTCCAAGAAGGGGCGGAGTCTTGGGATCCAGGTTCCGGACTTCGACAATGTGAAGGACACATTGGCGACTCCCAGGAGCAAGATGTCGAGGGAAGCTGTGCAGAAGACCAGGGAGTCGCTGCAGCAGTCGTCTTCCAGGTCGACTCCGAAGAGCAGCGCGAACGGTCAGGTGAGCAGGGAGACGTCGTCGTCGATCGCAGAGTTGAGGAAGGACGATGCAGACGGTGTGAGCTCGAAGCCCAGCGTCATCGTGGAAACGTACAACAAGGTGCACCACGACCTGGGTTCGGGGGCGGAGGGCAGGGAGCCCGCGGCGACGGGTTCGAACCAGAAGGTGAAGGCCGCAGAGGCAGGGGCGGGTGCATCGGACGCAGCCGACCGCGAGCGCGTGTCGGGCGGGGAGGTGGCGAAAGATCGCGTGGATAGGAGCGGGGACGCCTCCGCGCCGGAGCCAGCCGTGGTGTCCAAGGTGTTACGTGAGGTTCGCAGCGGGAGCGAGGCGGTGTCTAGCTTGGCTCCGAAACCAGCAGTGGAAGGGAAGGCGGGAGCGAAGGGTGGAGAGAAGCCGCTGGCAAAGGCTGAGGAAACGCGCGGCGAGGAGGCGCAGTGGAAAGCGACGGGAGGGAGTGAGAAGGGCGAATTGAGTGGGAAAGCAGGTGCAGGCGGCGGTAAGGGCGATGGAGGTGGCAGGGTGGAGGGAGGGTTGGTGTGGGTGGCGGCGTTGGGCGGCGTGGCGGCCATAGCTGCCGGGGTGGCGGGCGCGATGTTTTTGAGGAGAGGAAGGCACGAGGGTGATCGCAGCGGGAGCAATGGGTGCAGCGGAGGTGTGTACGAGGTGAAGAAAGGGGACAACTTGTGGAAGATTGCGAGGGGGTCGGGAGGGAAGGACTGGCGCGAGATCGCGGCGAGGAATCCGAGCATCGGGAATCCGGACCTGATCTACCCCGGTGAACAATTGAAGCTGTGAGGAGTAGCGGGAGGAGAGCATAGGCGTTTTTGTTTGGGCTGGTGTTTGAGATATATATTTTTTTCTTGTAACAAAGGAAGAGTGTAAATTTACAGCATGCACGCTCTGTGAGGGTGCACACGTTTTGTAGTTTGGCGAGATTCGGCGACGTGGAATGAATGGCGGTGTGAGGAGGCGTGGTGAGGGTGTTTGAGAGGGTGGGAAGGAGAGAGGGTGGAGGATGTGGATTGTGGATGACGGAGGTTGGGGGTGGATGGGGGTGGGCGAGAACGTGGATGGTGAGGCACAGAGTCGGGGATCATGTTGGATTTGTGTTGCTTCTCCAGAATTGTTGTTCATGTTTATGGGGGTGTTGTATGTGGATTGGAATTGAAGTGTCCAAATTGTGAGTTCCATAGAGCTCAATAGGGAACACGATGATTGCGAGACGAGATTGTGCAGTGTACACATGAATGAGGTTTGCTTGTTTAGCAGATGCATTTTATTCGGTATGTATGCACTTTTTTTCTTGATTTTTCCGTGCACAGTAGCAGGTGAAAATTTCGCCTATCAATCAGTTTTTGCACATTTGATGTAACTAAATGAAGCGACGACATTGACGGAATGTGGTTGGAAATTTGAGTTTGCTGGTTGGTGGTCTTGTTGCATAGGATTTTTGGTAGTTTGGTTTGCAGGTTGTGCATCATTTGTGCAACATCGTCATGACATACGAGATTCAACTTTGGTGGGATGTGCACTGTTAGTGCCTAGCTGCTATGTTAGCAGGGGTGGTGATTGAATTTGCATGAATGCATGAAATAATTTGCTGAGAACTGGAGAATGTGCCAGTTGCGAAAGTTAGTTTGTTTGTATTTGCGTCGACCATATGTTGGTTCGCATCACATGTTCATTATAAGGCAGATAATTCTACTGTGGATTTCATTGGTGGAATCTCACATGCGGGGAGCCTTTTCTCAATGCATTGAATGGAAGTTGATGTGTCATTTAGGAATAGTGGAATCCACATTCTAGGTTAATTCGACACAATTTGAAGATCGTGTCGGTCAGTCCATCTGTGAATGCCTGTTCTACAGAACTAAAGCAATGTAATGGATCCACCCAACAGGACATCTTGTCCAAATCTCAACACATGCACGAACCTAGCTGGATAGAGGGTAGGAAATCTCTGCAATTGCCGGTTAATTGTATGTGGGAGGCTAACCATGTCGTGATCGGTTGGGTGCGCAGTATGTCATTCACATTTTACACGTCGAATGCCTCAGTTAACCAGTTCTCCGCATCGAACTTTTCAAGCTTTAAGTTGGTAATTCCAATACACCACCCTGATTAGCCTCTAACACAAAACAGGCTAACATTAAAACTTCCATGAATGTCGACCTGGGGTCCATGAAGCATATTCCAACCTTTAAATCCATTCCACTTCATCGTCAGGGGTCATAGGCAATCAAGCATAGGTCACATTCTGAAGACAACGTCATCACATGTCCCCCCATGTTTGACCATAGCAGAACTCCAATTAAACAAGTGACCAGTCCAAGACTTCTAAGATTCTTTTTGACAACCCCGCTGGGCGGTGAGAAAGGGCTTTACAACTACGCCTAAAGAGCGTAGAGGTCGGCAAACGCTCCGAATATATAAGAACAGGCTACGTATTACCAGACGGAGGGTAAGACGGGAGAGAAGGACGATGAAGATGAACATTGTAGGAGCTAGGAGGGCAAGAGTGCAGCGACATGACCGTGTCGAGTTCCGATATCAGTGCAAGGCAGGGTTGGGCTGGAGGGGATTAAGGTTTGAAGGTCCATGATAACAATCAGTGTTTTCTATTGTACGAAAATTGTTTAAGTACGAAAATCAAGGATGAATACATACATTTACTGAAAACCTTTCCTATGACTAATATCACCTAAACAGTTCCAAACAAGTGTTTTTAGAAATGCAATACTGCAATTTTGATACTGTAAATTTTTGGTAAGATCTAAAAAGTAAAAATATGTTTTTGAAAGCACAACGGTCTATATATCTGATGTATAGTATTTCAGTGGTATAGTTGCAATTGTGATCCATTGGATGCACATTTTGTGCACCTGTAGGCTATACCCAATTTGCTGGTTGATCAATACCCGGCTATGCCATTGATGACAACTTGCATGGGTTGATGTTTCTGTGCAACTGTCCGGACCTGGCCTGACTGGGTCATAGGGAGCACCAAATTTAGGGTACTGACAAGGAAGCATCCAGGAAGTTTCATATCTCGGAGGTTCTATCAGCCTAGACCAGACTTGCTTTTGTGGACCTCTCTCAGAACTTCTGAAGAGGCGACGAAGTCTGGAACTCGAGTATTGCAAACAATTACTCGTACCGTTCTTCCCCTTCTCTGGTGCACTCGGATGAGCCTGAGATTTCCGGTGTTGCGTTCAATGTCCTTTGATTTGGATTGAATTTTGTTGCGGAGTGGACGCGAATTGAGGAGAATTGGGTTGGGTGGGGTTGCGGGAGGGTGAGGATGGATTTCACCGAGTTGGAGGGGGTGGAGGGTGTGCGTCTCGTGTGGAACGAATGGCCCAGCTCCAGGATTGAGGCTACGCGACTCGTGATTCCCTTCGGCGTCATGTGCACGCCTCTGGGACCGATCCCCGAGCTGCCGTTGCTTCCGTATGAGCCGATTTTTTGCAAGGGGTGCCGAGGAGTGTTGAACCCGTATTGCAGGTATGATACCGACGCCAAGATTTGGGTGTGCCAGTTCTGTTTTCAGCGCAATCACTTCCCTGCGAGTTATCATCAGATCAGCCAGCAGAGCCTGCCGCGGGAGCTTTTTCCTACGAGTGGGGTCGTGGAGTATGTTCTGTCGCATCCCCTGCCTGGGCTGGGTAGCTCCTCGGGGATGTATTCCCCGGGTAGGGCTGCTGGAGCTGGTGGTGCGATTTGGCCTCCTGCGTTCCTGTTTGTGGTAGATACTTGTGTGACCGAGGAGGACTTGACTGGTTTGAGGAGCGCCCTGAAGCAGCTGATGTCGTTGATGCCTGAGACGGCACTCGTGGGGCTTATTAGTTACGGTACCAATGTCCAGGTTAGTTGATCTCTGGCCGAATCTGGGGAATTTTTTGATTGAGAAGGCCGAAGAGAAATCCAAATCGACTGTATCTGCTCGTGGTTAGCGGATGGTTTAGGTATTTTATTTTGTACCGGTTTCTATGTGGGTTATGAGGAGGGCATTAGTGTTTGCAGCGGCACAACCCTAAGATAGTGCTTTTAGGTTTTAAAAGAATTAGTGATTGGGAGATGGTGAAAAGTCTCTAACTTCGTGGCATTCATCAATCTTGAAACGATAAAAGTTCTTGGTATATAGTTGTAGTTTATAAACTTGAACTCCATTTTCTAGGGCTTGAGGGAATCCTAATAGGGATCAGTAGTACCATTGATGGATTGTAGGTGGCGATTCAGTGTTGAACGAAGTTTTTTTTTTTTTTTTTTTTTTTTTTTTTCCTGTTTTGATCGGACGCATGAAACTGCTGGAGGTTTCAATTGTTCACTGCATTTAGTTGATCCCCTGAGTTCAAATGTTGATTCCTATGGTCACCTAACAGGACGGCCTGAAAAACTATGATACTGAAGTAAGATGTGTTCGCAGTTATTTACTTAGAGTTTACCAGTTGAGTTTTCGCTGATCATTGCAGCCTACGCTACCCAGTTCTCGAGAACTTCTGTGGAACTTATTTTAGTTATTCTAATTTCTAATCATATACATCTATGAATTGTAGGGTTTTTGTACTGTTTGACATTCACAGACACTTTAGCTTCATCGTTTGTTCTTAATTTGTCAAGGGCACTTTTGCAGGTTCACGAATTGGGATATGCAGATTTAGCCAAGACAATTGTTTTTCGAGGAGACAGGGAAGTTTCAACACAACAGGTTGGTTTCACCTTTCCATTTCTTTGGCTTTCCAGGAGATTAGGTTTTTCCTATTGTGTTTTCTTGTTGACAAATGCAAACTCTTGATCACTGGCGATTGGTTTGTGCAGTCTTCATATTGTGACTGCTTGCATGTTCTTATTCATAGAGAGGTGACCAATTATGAACTCTGAACCCAATCTCACTCTCGTGAGGTTTCGCCAGTATGACATTGAGTTGGTTGATCATGGCTGCAGGTTCACGAGTTCTTAGGTCTTACAGTCAAACAGTTGCGAGGCACAGGGCCCAGTAGTATTGGTTTGTCAGGCGTAGGACGATTCTTATCGCCTGTTGCGGAGTGTGAATTCAGCCTGTCGACTGCTCTTGACGAACTTCAACCCAATCCTTTCTTTAAGGAGCTTGGTCATCGACCGAAACGAGCAACAGGGGCAGCTTTGTCTGTGGCAGCAAGTTTGATGGAAGGATGTGTTCCAAATATTGGGTCACGCATCATGCTGTTTGTTGGAGGGCCTGCCACAGTTGGACCTGGTATGATTGTGGAGACTGACCTAGCTAAAAGCATTCGAACCCACCAAGACCTTGATAACGATCGTGCACCTCATTATAAAAAGGCTTGCAAGTTTTATAGCCAATTGGCACAACGACTGGTCGCAAACAGTCATGTGCTGGATATTTTTGCATGCTCTCTTGATCAGGTAATTGCTACGAGCCGAGTCTTTCCAAAAAAAGTCGTAAATAACGTAAGGCTTGCATAAGAAAAACCATGAAATGCATTTCCTTCTATCTCACATCGAACACACCGTGCTGAAACGAATATTTTATAAAAAAAAAGAACTGAAGTTAGCAACTGGAAATTCTAAATAAATTATCATTACGCTACTGGAACGTAACAAGAGCCTCCACTAGTTGAATGAAACAGGTTTGATGTTTCACGTTGTGTTCAGTTAGCAGTTCAATGCATGATACTGTCCGTTTGTTGATGTTTCTATACGTCATGTGTTCAGAAGATTGATGTGGAGTCTAAGTGCCATTCTCTAGGGGCTGTAGGTAATATTCGAATTTAGAAATGTTCCAGGAAAAGCTCACATGGAAAATTAGAAAGAGTGTGACTCTGTATCAATAGCATGGTAGCACAAGTACTTCCCGTTGTAAGAGTTTTTGGTTTTAAATTGTTCCAGGTAGGCTTGGCAGAGGCAAAGGTTGCTGTTGACAACACTGGAGGGATGATTGTTATGGCCGAGACTTTTGATTCTGAGCAGTTCAAGAAGTCCTTGCAACGATTGTTTGATAGAGATGCCGACGGTCTCCTGAAGATGGTGTTCAATGCATCTGTTGAAGTCATGACAACTCGAGAAGTGAAAGTTTGTGGGGCAATCGGGCCCTGCAGTTCTTTGCAAAAGAAGGGTATCTTTTCTTTTCTTCTTGAACCTTCCTTCTGAATCTCTTCTGCTGATCTAGTCAATAGCTACTGTAATCATGTGGACAAGTTCTGTGTTTCTTCCCAAAATACCGTGTCACAATGCTATTGCTCGAAGTAAGCTCATTTTTCACGGCGATATTGTTTATGCAGGTGCATCTGTAAGTGAAACTGAGGTTGGCACTGGAGGAACAAGTGCGTGGAAACTTTGCACCTTGAACAACAAGACATCACTTGCTTTCTACTTCGAAGTTGTGAATGCTCACTCGAATACTATACCATCAGGGACAGCGTTTTTCATTCAGTTTATAACTCAATATCAACATGGGAGTGGTCAAATGAGGTTACGTGTTTGCACAATTTCAAGAAGGTGGTGTGATGCGGACCATGTACAAGATTTATCTGCTAATTTTGATCAGGAGACTGCAGCGGTTGTGATGGCACGACTTGCTGTATTTAAGACCGAGCATGAGGAAGTCTTTGATATAATGAGATGGTTAGATCGAATGCTTATAAGAGTAGCTGCGAAGTTCGGAGACTACACAAAAGAGGACCCACAGTCGTTTCGATTAGCATCTAATTTTTCGCTGTATCCTCAGTTTATGTTTCATCTCCGGCGTTCTCAGTTTTTACAGGTGTGCTGCCCACTGCCGATTTTTTTTCTAATTTCGTTCTGAGTGGGTCATTGTGTAACTCCCTTTTGTTCGTCACTTGGGCTGATTCTTATCATGTTTCGACTGGTTGTGGTGTAGGTGTTCAACAATACGCCTGATGAATCTGCATTCTACAGACTAATGATTAACAGAGAAGGGGTGGTGGGATCGCTCGTTATGATTCAGCCCACACTTTTCTCCTATTCCTTCGACGGACCTCCAGTACCAGTCCTCTTGGATGTCAGTTCTATTGGACCTGATCGGATACTTCTGTTCGACTCTTACTTCTTTGTTGTTGTACATTTTGGTTCAACGATTGCACAATGGCGTAAATTGGGTTATCACAAGGATCCACAACATGAGAATTTTAGGAAACTTTTGGAGGCTCCGATCGAGGATGCCGAGGCGCTTTTGTCAGAAAGGAATCCTCTACCCAGACTCGTTGTCTGCGATCAGCATGGTAGCCAAGCGCGGTTCTTGTTGGCAAAACTGAATCCGTCTATAACCCACAACAGCAACCAGCAGGGTTCCGAGGTTATCTTCACTGATGATGTCAGCTTACAAGTGTTTACAGAACACTTGCAAAGATTAGCGGTGCAGGGATAAAGTCAGTGGTGCAGGGACAGAATTACTCCACGCAATGGCATTCTATGTGGGGGTAAGGAGGGACTACAGCAGATTCTAAGATTGTAGGGCTAAAAACTACGTATCCGAACTAGCTTTTTGTAGAAGTGGGAAATGGAACACTGAGTCTGGAGGCTCAACCAAGGAATCTGTGGTGCTTTGACTACATGAGTCAGTGATGCGTAGTTCAAAACAGGCTTGGTTGTTGAGAGGTTTGATTCTTATCACTTCAACTCCTGTTGGCAACGAGCATTTAGAGCCAAGATTGCGCTTATCATTGTTCAGATGGCAGTGGAGGCTTACAAGAAAGCAGACATTCCACATGACTGGATCCAAGGAAAATGCGAAAGGAGAATGGTTCAAAGTTGAGGCTATGTTACTTGTGCAGTGAAACAAAAATGTTAACTTTCTACCCGTGTGTGAATCCTAGACGGATCTAAGACCGTCGGAGTACACAAGCTAGTGACTCTGGTTTGATTTTTATGCTCTTGTACGGCCGAACGCAGGTTTTAAGCTTGTATAAAATTTCGGAGGACTGGGTTAGATAGTTTATATAGGTTTTTCAGAACATTGTCATCTTTGTGGTTCCCGAGTAGAGGATAATTTTCGTGCTTGCTGTATTGGAACATCAAAGAATTGAACGTTGGTGGTATAGTGAAGAATTGTAATATTTACACTAGAGAATCATTTGTTTCCATGTCGTTTTGATTTAATGATTATCTCCTGTCACTCGATGTTGGAACATTCGTTAGGTAACGTATCTTTTCTGTTATGCATTCCTTTCATTACATGTAAAGGTTACTTCAGTTTATTTGTTCATTTGACCATATTGGATTCTGTCTAGTACTTTTAAGAAGTCTTGCTTGGGTTATTCAAATTTAAAGTCATCTTCATAAACTTTTAACACTTTATTTGTTTTTGATTTTGGTCACTTCTTAGAAAGTTGCATATTCTTTTTCTCTTTCAGTGATGGATAAAATAATTTTAAAAATTGGACTCTCCACCTTGAGACATAATTAGGTACACCCTTTTTTCTTTGTTTTTTTGTTTTGTTTCAGAAGTACCTTCATTCACGAAAGATGTTTTAATAACACTTTCAGATCTAATGGATTTTCGTATTGTTGTATTAACTAAAACTATAACACTAAGAGATCTCATTGCGATTTTGAGTTTCTTAAATTCTGTTTTTAAAAACTGGTTCTCATTGGTTTGCAGAAGTTCGGAAATGAGCTTCATACGAAGTCCCACTCCAGTCTATATTCAGAGGAAGCCCGCTTCCGCAGTTCTTTGAAAGTTGAGCACAACCCCTAGGCAATCCACATTATGGCAAGGTTGAACAGCAGAAATTGCACGACCGGAATGGAACGCCACTATTTTGTCGGTGTGGGTCAATTAATACACATTACAAATTTTCAGGCAAATTCTGCACTGCACTTTACAAACGAAGACTGCCCATGAGGTATGCTAGTGTCTTTGCCATGAATTGAGGCCATCCCTCCATTGAGGATCATGGCTCAAAAGCTGCCTATCCGTGTTGAAAATTTTGGGCTTAATGTTGATTGGATCAGTCTCAGAACATAAACAATCTGGTAGAGGATTTGTGTAGAAGACCTCTTCCGTCCTAAACCGGTCCCTTCCTTTTGTACCTGTGATGGGACCTTTCCGTTTCCGTGGCGCTCCTTGCCTATAAAGACAAGTAAAAACCAATCAAGCGATGATATGTGCTGTAGTTGGTACCAATAATTGTACCGTGCGAATCTGCCACCGAAAATAAAGCAGGCCAAGAAAGCGACTGAAGTTTACACGATGATAGATGTATGTGATCTAACGTGAACCCAATCCCTTGCCTCAAAAGCCGAAGGTGCTTAGGTACAAACACAACACCTGCACGCCTCAATTCTGACTTCTACATCGTATATAAAACAAGAGATGAACCAGGGCAAATGTCAACATGACATTTGCAGAATTGAGTCATCGTACCTCCGCTTGTGAATGTTAGCGATCATCTCCGCAAGCTCTGGGCCTTCAGTAAGTTCTCCTCTGTCTAGCTTGTCAAAGAGCGCTACAAGCTCTTTCCTGCACAAACCACAGTATACCTCATCAATACTGCCGCTCGAAACATAAAATGTCCTTGCATAACACGGAGATGCTGGGTTAGTTGCAAAATCATGCTCAAGTTCTCGAGAGGTTTAATTGCACGAAACAAACCACAACGCTCAACAAATTAGGATTTCCTCATATGCAAACCTGTCAGGGGTTATGGTCTTGCGGTGCTCAAGGTACCGTCGATGTCCTTCCACAGCTCTGGCCATATTCCCTGAGTAGGAAGGTACGAACACGTTGCTTTCCACGGAAACAATGTAGTCCAATGCTGCCAGTTGAGAGGAGTGATTGACGAATGGTGCAAGCTCCTCTGGCGTGGCTACGGTCTCCTGTATGCACGTAAATTCCATGCCATTAGCAATTTGAATAGACAATTAATATCAGCGCTATCAGGTGAATTAAACTCCAGCCAATGACCCACACTATAACTACATGGGAATAAATGCAAGACCTGTAACGAATGTGAGAGCTTAAAAAATGCTTCTCCTGGACGAGTATTACACATGCAAGGATACTCAGAAGTGCGCGACTGTGTCTGAATTAGCAACTGGAGTCACAAACCAAAGTCTGACACTTTGCATCACACACTGCAACTCACAAAATTTACTTCATTAGCGTACAAATATTCAAGTCCATAACTCATCATCTAATTCCTGCTTCTACGCTCCCGTTCAAACTCCGAGCCCTAGAAATGATTACTGAGCGGGCTGACCTTACGCAAAACATTTGGAAACCGAGAAAGCAGGCCTTTCATACGTTCATCACCACCATAAATCTCGCCAGCAGCAATGTAAATGGGTGTGGTCTCCGGGTAGCCCAAAGCCTTCAAGAAAATCCCGACCTCTTTTGGTGTCAGCGGGCAATACCCTTTTACCCTTTGATCGGTAGAGTTGATGTCCTTCACCTTCCAATGGGCTGTAGTCTGTCTGTTCACCACATCAAAGACGTATTAATCATGTGCAACACCTGATGATCTCCGCATAACGGTTGACTTTGTTTTCAACCTTTGGTGGTTTGGGTGTTCGGAAATCGTAAGATGCAAATCTTTATGTCCAACAAAAGCGAACCAAGTTGCTGCTTTCGCAATCCAAGATACACGACACAGTTAACACATCGCAGGCGTCCCCAACGCCTGCACGGCACCAGTACAAGATGAACAAAATAATGGGGTTTAAATCTGCTCACCTTATAGTGGTCAACTCATCGGCTTCTTTGTGTGTTAGACCATGGGTGCAGCCACTAAAGGCTAACATATCCTTCTCATACCGAAGATGCAAAGCAATGTAGGGTCCATTTCTTCTCAATCTCTCTACAAGTTTCTGCGAAGACAATGGAACGCATGTTCAGGATGAAACTTTAGAGGGGCAAAAAATACTGTGCCAAACTCGCGAAGACTTGCAGCAAGAAAAAACGTTATTAGTGCAGAGACTGCACGACAATGGATGCGATAGATACACTGCAACTAAAATCTTCCAATCCAATGACGAAAGAAGCAATGTTAGCACAGCAGCAAACTTGCACCTTCCCAAACTCATCAATGGCACAGGAAAATCGAAGAGCATCATAATGAACCCGACATCGCAACTTCTGTATGTCCGCAGGCAAGTCATTATTTGCCAAGCGCGAATCGGACTTAGAAGCGCGAATGACCTGCACAGTTCAATGACGTCAAGACTTAAGGTTTTGAGAACCAGATCACCCATATTAAGCTCAACATACTCCAGAGTTCTGAACACGCAACAATGTATCACATAGAACACGATCAAGCAATTACGCTCACCACAAACACAACGATTGACTAAATATCGCGGCGACGACTCGCGGGTGAAAAAAAAGTTCACCAAACCAAATTGCTCGTCTGAAAAGCTCGAACAGTGCGTCACATATCAAACCACAACACAGCATAGTCAAACATGACATGAAGTTTCGTGAACTGCGAAGAAGAGATAATTATCAGCGACTCACCCTGTAGTCCCGCCAAACAGGAGCGATGATATCCACATAGTACTTTACGTTGGACCAGCTTTGAAACTGTTTCACGGCTTTAGGTGCTAATAAATATTCTTGAGGAAGCGACTTAACCACATGAACATCACCTCTTAAGGCCTCTATGAAATGGTCTACGTCAAATATATCCGAGAAGTTGCTGCACGATCAGTAGAACACACTAGTTAGCAGTAGGTCCAAAAGAAAAACATATTGCCAAAAGACATGTAATTGTGTGCAAAAATTTCGATGAGAAAAGCTTGTACCCACCGCCTAACACCAGTTACATCCGAATCACAATTACATCCCTTATTACAGTTCCCAGCACCCATTTTAGGCGAAGACTTAGTTCTTTCAAGAGCCCTGCAGAAACTGAATGCCATCTTCAAGCACAATGCAGCAAACAATCCTTTTTGCGAACATTTGAGCACTCATTACCGCCGACGGACTATTTGCCACACAGCGACACTCGCAATGGTTCAATTATCCTCACCTAGAATCCTGCCAAAATGATCGCTTATCAAGCTCCGGAACAACCAATGTAGCGTTCAATATGCGTGCAACCGCCACCATATCACAGATCTGCCACAGATAAAGATCGTGTCACAAGCAATTTGTAGGAAGAATAAGACCTGAGGACCAGAATTCAACATTAAGTAGAACAAAGTAGAACTGAATACAAGCCTAACAGAACCAAGCACAAGTAGGGGCATCCTGTGGCTCCTAAACATACACGACCAGAGATTGACTACACAGGGTACGAACTGCGCAGACATCGTGCTTGATGCCCAGAGCGTGTCACAATTACAATCCTTATCCCAGTTTAAAAACATACCCCTGCTCGCATCTGATTCAAACCCCCATTGCTTTGGACCAGAAGATACCCTCTGGAAATACCTGGACCTGAATTCCATATTCAGAAAACCAACACAAGAGGTTAAATGGCGATCTCATACGCTATCTAATTAGGATAACTCCAAGCAACGTCTTCAAGACAAAATCATGATTCAAACCCATAAAGAGCTGAGCCAAGTTCGCATCGTTTCAACAAGTTGAAACTACGAAAAGACATGCGCCATTCACCTGAGTAAGACTCGCTGGGCTCAACGCAAGGATGAAATCCTCGATTTGGAGGAGGCTTCCAAAGTTTCTTGAACTCCACCGACTGTATCAAGGTTACCAAATGTCATCAACTGAAATCCAAAAGCTGCCACTGATGCAACAAACCTTCCGAGACGACACTTTTCGCGGTTCATTTGTTTCCCCCATAGCATCACAAGAAACTTTTCTTTATTTAAATAACCAGGAGTGGAGGGAAGAGCGGAGCGGTGGTATGGATTTGCGTCACCGTGTCAACTCCATAAGAATTACTTCTAGCATGAAGGGGAATGAAATATGATTATCCCAAGGTTATGCAACGATCTGGTACACACACTTCGGAAAACGCACAGAACTTGCATGCATACCCCTTCCGCCGGAGGAAACGTTCGTAGCAAATTTAGCGCTATTAACTATAAAAAGTCTTGTTCACACTTCATGCAAAAGACTCAATACTTTTAGATACTCCTAATCCCTAAAATGAACACATTCGTCCTGTTGACAGGAACTGCAAACAAGATCGCACCTCTACGCCTGGACTCGGCAATTGGGACAGTCGGTGGGACCCGAATTCTTGCCTCAAATTCAACTCATCCGATCTAGGTTGTACTCCATGATCACCTCGCTGGAATTCCCAACACCATCCAACACAAATAACGTCATTTCAAGTGAACTAAAGTCAATTTCAGGGGCGAGGGCTCCCCCACTAAATCGGCGCCCACCAAACACAGTAATACCAGTTCAAGTTGTTGTTAGCTTATCCACCATTGCACATTGACGAAATCAGGAGGAGCGCACTTCAATCCTCTTCGACCTTTCACCTTAATTTCATTTGATGTACTACGATCTAATTCAATGTAGTCACACAATAGACCAGAACAATGTCCTCAACGCTTGTTTGTGAGTGACTTATTTGAAGGGGCGCAGCTTCTAGTGCTCATGCAAGAACGTCCTGCAATGTGTGGATGATGTGGGCAACCAACATCTAGAACCACCTACGCAAGGAAATATGGCCCTCGTTCAGCTGATTGCAGGTACTAGATTAGGATCTTCGAGAAATACCTGATAAAGCATGTGAGACTGCATGGAGCTTCTTTGAGACCGCAACATGGAAAGAATGTCCGGAAAGAAAAATGTTGAAAATAGCGCTCCAAGTACAACACTCACATATCCAAGCATCCATAAGAATCCAATTAGACCAGCTCCCGATCGGACTCTCAGTCGTCGTCCAAGACTTGAAGTGTGCTGCGATGCGTGCCGATGCATAGTGCTCCTCTCTGAAAGCGACCCAAACCTCAGCTTACCCATTTTCCTTCCACAACTACTGCTTCTCAAATGCATGGAGTACTCATCCAAAGAATCAGTACGAACCTCATAACCATCAGTTGCACTGACATGCCAATACGAAAACCCACACAGATTAACTGTGATTAACCCGTCATGAGTTCCAGCCACAATGGTGGCAGTTGGAACCCCCCAGGCCTGATAATTAATTGAGCTAACTTAGACTTCACAAGTCATTGGAATGCGAGACTCAGATTTTCTGTTTCAACCGCCCACAAAAATTCACATCTTTAACACACAGAAAACGGCTAAGAAGCAGAATTAATTACTTACGCTCTTGAGAAGGAACCTCATCACTATCAAGCCAGCGTCTTTCTGAGACCTCTCTTACGTCCAATTTCATTTGTTGCATCTCCGAAGGACTGCTCAAGGTCCTGGTGATGAAGGAACGATATTTTATGATGACAGATCTACGCCATGATGCAGCTGACGGTTGTACACATGAAATACTCGGCATTAGCCCAACTGAAACTAAGCTCGTCGTAACCTCATGCCACTAACCACAGCACTCTAAACCCTGTCGCTCCACAAGAATTGCCTCCTCACAGCAGCGTGCACTTCGCTTTGCAAGCTTGGACAGCTTAGTCACCTCAAGCATTCAACAAAGTTCACATTTCGCCTTCGTCTGAAAATAAAACGTACCTCTTTAATATGAGTGGCAACTGATACAAAACCCGTGCGGAGGGCAAGCTTCGCAGGTCATGGAGAGGCTGCTCCGAATTTCCAAAGAAGTGGCAAGCGATCTCAACACACTAAAGTTCTAGATCTGCATCATATGATGGTTGGCGCCACAAGCCAGCGAAGAAAAGCATCCTGAGGGTACAATGCGCTGCCTGCACCGTAATAACAGCGACAAAACCTCCATAGATGACCAGCGCAACTACTTCAGGCGATCCTACACCATTGGGGTAAAATCCACCTCTAGGTTAACGGCCTGGCCTTCTCCAACTGTGGCCCCAAGTGCAGCTGCCCCTGAAAGATAACGAAAAGTAACCAGGGTCAAGGTATTTACTACTACCCCGGAACTCGTCTTCTCTGAAATCGCAGATACAATCCATCAAGAATTTAAAGTGCAGAATCACAACTACTACTCTTTCACAAATGAATAAATACAGATCCTTTTCAGCAACCACTCCCAATCTCTGTCTGTGATCACTCCCAATACTCGGGAGCTTCAAAGGGACATTGTTTGTGAAGAGTATTCACAAATTGGTGATATCGAACCCATACTCCACTTCCCAGTAATTTCTTCGCTCTGGGGATCAATGTAGCTGTAAAAACTATTCCTCTTTAACACGGAGATGGCACTCTTGATGGAACCAGGCTTCCAGCCAGCGAACTTCGCACCGCAACTTGAGCCGAAGCTATGAGGATTTATACGAATGGAAACCTTATCGCATCTGCTAAAACTTCAACAATCACCCCTACAACGCCCTCTTATCTCATCAGTCTAATGTTCCATCCCCTAGAAACGTCATGAGCTCAAAGACGCGCTCCTGCCAATGGAACAGACACCGAAGCTGAATTTCGAATCCTCATCTGCGATCTCAAAAATGACCCAAACTTAAACCAAGCTCCCATTCCTCTTTTTCCACGCTCTGATGCACCTCTTATATCCGCATTAGCGTCAGAGGGCTAAAACTTTACATGATCAATAACTGGAAAGATAAATATATACAGAGTTGTAACGATGCTTCCGAGACATTCAGAGCACAAGAATAAGCAGGTACTATAGTCAACCACCCTGCAACAGAAGAAAAACACGAAACGCAGAAAACATCTTGAACTTTACAACGCAAGGGTGATATATAAAAAAACACAACTTTCTAAGCAAAACCAATTCTGATGCTAAGGTTTACCAGGCATAACACTGCCGATCGCCAACCCCAAATTCCCCGTGACCTACGCGAACATTAAAAACTCCCAACGTCCAATCGAAAGTTGCGGCAGTGCCCTCCGAGAAACCAAGAAAAAATGGACTCACGCACGCTCAGTAAAGCCCAAGAAAACGACCCAACATCCAAAATTATCCGCCACTCTCCTCGACAGAATCACCGAAACATCTGAAGTCGTCAACATCGATGCATCTGCTATAGTGACTGCTGACAATGGCAAACTCGGGGCGCAGCAGCAGCAGCGGCAGCATCAGATAAAATCAACGTAACCATAGCTAACAACCAAAAGCGTCTCCTCCGTGATCAGACCCACTTCGGAAACTACCAGCAACGATAACAGCGAAGAGAATGACTCAAACGGTTCACATAGGTCATGCACCTCTGCAGGCGCCCAGCAAGCACCTCCCCGCGCAACAAAGAGTAGTCAAGCCTATGAATTCAGTCAACAAAAGCTAGCTCCTCTCAGGGGCGGATTTCGCGCACTGTGCATTACTATTTGCTTCGGAAAACAACGAATCTGCCAGCAGCTGTAGCTAACGTACTAAATCGAGTGCCGCGCAGCCGATTCGGAAGCAGTTGATGCGGATGATGCATCCTGGGTTGCAAAAGAGTGTTCCCTCGCGAATGCAAACGCGAGACGAGAGTGCTCGATTTAGGGCTGCCACTCACTGAGCTCTGCTTCTTCCGGAGCACTTGGAAGTCGAGGGAACAAATGGATGAATGTTCCTGAAGTAAAATGGATGAGGAATCCGCATGATGGTCCTCGTATCTCAAGTCTCCATCTGTCCGCACAAGGCAGTTTCGAATCCACTTTCATCGAATCGCACTGCGAGTGATGGGTGATGATTCTTCTCATCCATATTTGTTCATCCAACCAATGACGTCCAGCTGGGAATGGCACCCCTTACGGAGACCATTGGAGCTCGTGGTTTGTTTAGTACATTGCAGGAGCTTTTTAATTTTTTTGGTGGATTGTGCATGAATAACCAACTATGAGGAATTTTGGAATTCTAATTGATCAACGTTCCACTTCTACACTTTACTATGGCATTCACATAAAATTGTGTTAAGATTTTGATTTTACATCTTTTTTAATTTGTTGGATATGCTATCAAATTAGTTGTCTTACATGCTTATTGTTCCAAACCTTCTTAGGAAGTAATTATATGGTTTTTTTTTGTTAGCTAGTGTATACATGGAGAAAAAATCTAATGTCATCCTTACTTTGATGAATGTTTTCTTATCATTCAATCTTCATTCAAGACTTTCTAATGTTTTGGTAATTAGTAATAATTATTTTAATGCATTCTCATTTTATACATGTATCTTTTATGGTTCTCTTTTTACATTCTTGGTTGTATGTAAATATGTATATATATATATATATATATATATTTATATCCTTCATAGTTTGACAAGATCAACAATTAAAATCTTATAATTTGATCTTATATATATATATATATATATATATATACTATCCATTTTTATCAAAAACATCTAAGTTCTTTGGAGGATTTTTAAATTTTTTTAAAATTTCTTCTTCACATTTATTACTGCCTCTTGTAAATTTACTCAAATATATTATTGTATTTTTTCAAAAAAATAATTGGATTTATATAAATAAAGAGTGTTATAATATATTATGAGAAGAAATGAGAACATTGATCTTAGAAACAACTTTAATTACTACTCAAACAATATCTAGAATCAACAGCTTCAAAAATGCTAATATAGCAAAACATTTCTTTAATAACTATATTACTCCGAGTACATCTTTTGATTTGCGTATATAAATAGTGACATCTACTGAAGAACTAAGAACCATTTAAGTTTTTTTAAAATGTTGCTTAAAGAACCACTTCTACCATGGTATTTATCATCTTTTAAAAAACATAGATATATATATATATATATATATATATATATATATATTAAATAACTTAAATGCATTTTAGATAAAATTTTAAAACTTATTTAAGAAACATAATGTAAATTGTGCATAAACAAATACAGTTTGGATCTTGCAAAAATTAGTATACATATATATAATCGACAAATTTGACAATTAGAAATTAATCTTAATTAAAATGATGTAGCAAGTATAAATTTTAAAAAAATATATATTACAATGAAGAGAAATTCATTTAAATTCTTCTAATTTCTTGATATTAAAAAAGAACAATTGAATTTGTTGTTAAATATAACTATTAAAATTTTAAGTTTTATTCAGAAAGGAATGCAATGATACTACAACATGTTTATAATTTTATTACAAAAACTATTATATTTTAAAATGTTTAAAAAAAATCATATTGATGTTTCAAAATTTAAACTTCTTGTGATCCAAGATGAAAAAATATGTTAGAAAGAAGGTTTGTATTTTTGTTGTACAGAAACAAATCGAATCTTTATACACAGAAAAAAAGACAAAAAGCTTAGAGTTTCTAAACTTATAATTAGTTGAAATCAAAAATCCTCACTTGGTTGATTTTATAGTTAGAAAAAATAGCTACTTAAGAAAAAAATTAGATATAATGCACTCTTTTCTACATAAGATAAACAATCTAGTTTTTAAAATTTTATAATAGATGAATCTTAAATACTGATTTTTACAAAGAAAATCAAAACCTCGATTTTTTTAAATCTATCTATTTTAAATTGATAAGTTAATTACATAGATTTTTAAAGTATTTCTCTCCAATTTTTGATTATTATATTCAGAAAAAAATGACAATTAGAATTTATTTTTATTTTTATTTTTATTTTTTAAATTTTTATTACCAATTCAGAAAACCAAGTATTTAAAAATAATCTAGTTATTTACTTTAAAAAAGACAGATATACACCTTTTATATTGAAGATTTTTAAACTAAGCTTTTAGGTGTGACAACCTCCTAAATAGATTACTCAATATTGTCCAAGGAAGTAGTGCAAATATTTCAAAAATTCATAAGAATGTTTTATACTAAATTTAAATAAGTTACTGCATTTATACATACTTTATTCAAAAAAATATTACAACCAGAATGAAAAGACTAAAATGCAAGTGCTATTTAGGATAATATAGTATGCCTTTGAAGAATGTCATTGAAGAGACTCACACAAATGTTTGATTCTACTTCTACTTTTGGATAATTAACTTCAAGTTTTTTGCAAAAATAAAAACAAAAAACGGCCTCAAACACTGTATAATTAGTTCCAAATATTAATGAGCCATACACAAGGTTTGTGATCTTTGTCAAGTTTGAAATATTGCATTAGCATAAACAGACAAAAATCTAAATTAAAATTTTAGAAAAGGACAAAAAATCTACCATGTTATAACTTACACATTCACTTGATTTTACCTATAATGGTGTTGTAAAGTACCATGAATACCATTCACTATCCTTCCTTAATGTTTTCATATTAACAAAATTCATTTAATACTAAGCACTGAAAATGATGACTTCGAAACTGTGAATGACACGAAAAGTGAAGAGCATGTTTCTCTTAACAACGAAACCCATGGGGTTTTACAAAATATACAAAGACACGCGAGAAAATATAAGTGTCAATTTCTGGCATCAAACTGTGCAAATCTTGACTTCCCTTAACAATGAAGTCTGGTGGCTCCTTCGCGAGACTCAACGAACGAAGAGCGGGTTTAAAAACGAGATTTGAGGTTGTGCTAAACGGAGACCCAGTACTGTGTCCAAAGATAGCTCGTTGCACTGCCTGAAACTGCCATTTGATCAAGCAAACGAGCGTCAAGTTTCAGATGCAGCGTCTGATAAAAAGATCCAACTGGAGCTGTGTCAAAGAAAACATTGCAGGGATCCTCTGACTGTTTTTCACATCTGAATGCACATCTGTTCCTCTTCAATGGTGGGTTTTGAAGAAAGGTGACGAGACCGCAACTTTGGAGGTAAGCAGATGATCAAGCAAGACGATCGTTTGACGTTGCAGTCTCTCATCAGACCTGTGCGATCACACTTGACTTGTGCGATCACACAAGGGGCAATGACCAACCGGCTTCGCGTGCACTCCACAAACTCTGCGAAAAAGAGAAGGAATTCCTTGTTGCCTTCGCCTTTCGGACGTTGTTAGGGCAAACTGTACACATGGATCGGTGCTCGCTTATCTCCAGACCCCTTGAGAGCTCTTGAACTTGTCGCAAAGGAAAGGACACAATGCTTCCAAACAATTCAGAAATCACAGACGCTGCAGGCTAATTATCGAGTCAGCGCAGAAAAGCTTCGTCCTCAACCCAAAACGCTCTTCCACTACTAGCCATCACAAGCTACTTCGCTTCACATCTGCTGCACTGAGCGACCGGGTCGCGTTGCGGAGGGAGCAGAAGAGCACGCGTTCGTTTCGCCATTGCGCAAGATTTTGTTTGCGTCCACCTCGAGGTCATAGAACATCTTCAGTAGCATCCTGTCGCATTTCGGAACAAGAAGGTTTCACGGTTCCGTGAAGAACCAGAGTGCAAAACTCGGCATCTCGTGTGTGATGATTTATCTAGGGAATCCTCCACCCGAATCGAATGCGACAGTTCAGGAAATACTGTAGGATAACGAGCGCGAGCTGGTTCCTCTTCGGGCTTGAGGGCGGGCCGCAGAATGCCACTCATGGGATTGCAGGGTAGATTGGAGGGATCAAGGGGAGCTGGAATGGGAATGAAATCTCTGTCCCTGATGGTGTTGATGCACTGATAGCACTATGCTACAACAGCAGCACAAGTGGTGAAGCCGACGACCGGAATGCGGAGCGTCCAGACCGGTTTGTGTGCTAACGGAATGGCCATCATAGCGGATGACTGGGACGTCGGCGACCAAGTTGCGCAAGAACTCAACGATGAGGCCCATGACAAGCACTGCCATTAAGAAGCGGATAACGTCGGTAAATCCTTTGTCGCCCTGGAGCAGTTCGTCAAGAAGTTCTATGTAGTGAATGTTTGCATTGTTCCTAACGCATTGAGGCTCACTTCGTAGATGAAAATGTTTTCATCGGCGCACACGGTAACTGATTCGCTCTCGCAAAAAATGTGCCGATGTGGGGCATTCTAGAGTCACTTTCGGGGAGAAGCTCACTCTGGGTTGTATCGTGCATCCGCCTCCGCTTCCATCATGTGTTCGTGGTTATCCTTTGTAATGACAAACCTGATGTAGAAGTTGTGAATGCGGACAAGACGCCTAGCGAGCTGCAGGTGAGATGTGGCATGACCTTGTGCGGGGTGTTGTTTCTTACGATGGGCCCAAGGATTTTGTGCCGTGACATGGTGACGTTCTTTCATCAGAACATGACGAGTCAGGAAAAGAACTTGAAGAGGACAATCTTGATCAAACACAGTTGTCCATCCGTT